GCATGAGATAAGCTAACAATGGATGAGGTTAATTTTTTATTTTCCAAATTTAACACATCATTGTTTTCTTTAAGCATCATATTTTCTTTTTCAATGATATCGAATTTGGAAACTAGCAACTCATGATCGGATTTTAATTCTACATGCTTGCTTTTAAGACCAATAAGAGTATGTTGTAACTTTTTATAGGCATTCATTAATTTATCATATGCATATGCGAGTTCATTAATAGAAAGTTCACTTTCGGAATCCGAATCACATACCACACTAGGGCTATCGCCTAGTGGCCGTGTGCACGATGATGCTCCACATGAACTTGAAGAGGAAGCCGCCAAAGCTTGTCGGGTCCCCTCTAAGTTTTCTTGATGTGCTTCTATAAGTTTCCAAAATGTGTAAGCACTATCAAATGAATCAAACTTGTTAGAAAAAGATGAATCAAAAGCATTATGCAAAAATTCTAACAAGAGCTTATCATTGTAAACATCTTATGATTATTTTTACTCCACTTGGATTTCTCCGAAGTGGGTATAATATAAGAACCATCTATAATTTCCCATAAATCGAAATGTCTAAATCGAATAAAAAGTTTAAATCTAACACACCATTGAGCATAGGAGAAATTATCTAAACGAGAAGCAACATTAATAGAATAACCTAAGCTAGGTGCACCGTGCATATCCATAATATGTTATGCAAGTAAAAAGAAATATCAAAACAAGATTAGCAACAATATGAAAACTTGGATCTTTAACTCAAGACGGTTAAGCCACAAATCAAAGAGCACCAAGCTCTGATACCAATTGAAAGCTACCCTAGAGTGATATTCAACATCTTATATGTGCAAGGATATGTAATTAACACAAGGGTGAAATAGACATGAAATAATATAAACAAGATAGTGGGCAAATAACCAATGCAAACACAAGAAAATGATCACGGAGTTCGGTCCTTCCGACCTACGTCTCTGCTCCCCACTCCCGGGGAGAATCCACTATCACAACGGGTTTTCAACGTTCACCCAAAACGTTTACACCTCACAATCTCGATTTTCTAGCTCACCGAAAATTTTCACAACTCACACTCTTGCAATCACACTCTACAACCTCAAGTGTTGGTCTCTCACATGTCGCCTCTCTCAAGTGCTCGGCTTTACTATCTCTCCCTAGGCTTTACTACTGACGTCACTCCTCTTGGTATCGACCATGTCTCTCACCACACACTCCTCTCGGTATACTAGTGTATTACAAGGTGATCTCACAAATAAGCATAAGAAAAATGTTTGTTCTCTATAATATATGAGAACTCAATGTAAGCCTAACACTCAATGTTACAAACTCACAATCCCAATTATACTATGTATGAAAATACTTAAGCTCAAGTGGGTGTGTGTAAACAATAGGTGGAAGTGATTTCTTTATAGTTGGATAAACAATAGGTGGAAGTAAACAACATGTGAAAGTGATTTCAAGAATTTATTTCTATCATAGGTGGAAGTAAACAACATGTGAAAGTGATTTCTTTATAGTTAAACAAAATCTTATATGACCACATAAAACCTACCATTTTATTTTGATGAATTCAAGAATTTATTTCTATCATTAATAATAATAGTTTTTTTTAATATTGGTCCCTTACATCATTAATATTTTGAAATTAGATCTTCAAATCATTAAATTGCTCTAAAATCATTAATATTTTAAGACTTTTTTCTGTGAAAGGAAAAATATTGAAACCAACAAGATATTATACTTGGAAATATCCAAAAAAAATTAATATATTATGATAATCATAATTTTTTTTTGCAAACATGTTATAGTAAATAAATAAACTTAAAATAAATAATATAGATATTTGCCCACAACTTAAATTATGTACAACACCCAAAAAATTTTAAAAAATTATAAAAAAAACCCCTTGAAAACTCTAAAAAATTATTTAAAAATCACCTCAAAGTGTAAAAAGTACAAACAAACACCCTAAAATTAAAAATTTTGAACAGTTCTATGAAGAATTTATAATTACATACAGCACCCCAAAAATTTGAAAATTATAAATAGACTTCTAAAATTATAATTTGTAAAAAACACCCCAAAAAATGAAAATAATAAATACCATGAAAATATAAAACCTTAGATCAACCCTCTAAACAATTTAAATAGAGAGCCACTAAATATTCAAAAATTACAAATAACCTTAAAAAAGTCTTTCAGAATACAAAAAATGCCAAATTTTAAAAATTGAAAAAAGACACTATGAAGATCTAAAAAAAAATACACAATATGAAATTATAAAATACTATGCAATATCAAGTTTGATATTAGTCTACAAAATATTATCATCATGTTATCATCATCAAGTAGATGTCTAAAAACATGATATTATATTTTGCAATAGATGTATAGTACTCATAACTATGTCACAGCTTAGTTATAATAAAGACATAATTAATTTGTTTCTCGAAGAAAAAAGACATGAAATAGAATAAAATAATCAAATTATTTGACAACATACAAGGGACATGCATCCCACCTAGTAAATCACAAATGGGCCACTACCCATTGCTTATTTCTATAGTGGGTTCACTATTGGATCCAATTCTGCTATATACTTAGGAATTGTTTTGCTAGAGGGTGATGTCACTTGACACCACTCTTTGAGGTGCCACTGCCCCTGATTAGTGGAGTGGCGGTGCCGGTAATTTTATCATTGGGTTTGAGGGAGGGGAGTCCAAGATACATAAGTTTCCTCTTATTTATTTCATAAAATAACATTAACTCCAAACAAATTTGAAATGGACTCCAAATATAAAAAGGCACATGATCATATAAAAATAATAAAAGAAAGAGAAGTAGATAAAGTATCAAATACGGATTGATTGGATCCTTGGTCGCCTATACCTATCACTGTTACACACACACACAAACATGATCATATAAAAATAATAAAAGAAAGAGAAGTAGATAAAGTATCAAATACGGATTGATTGGATCCTCAAACAGTCACTAAGAGAAAATATTAAGTTGATGGAGGTCTGTGTGTTGTTCTTCCCTGCACATGTAGAAAATCGTAAGAGGGTAGGGTTGGATTCCTCGGTTGTTCCTCCGACAATCAAGTCTAATATGCTTGAGTGGAGAAGTAACTGAACTATGGAAGTTCTCAAGCATAGTGGGTAGAGGAAAAGATCTTACATTATTGTTGAAAATAGTACCCCTATTTATAGTGGTGGTAGAAGGGTAGAATGGTAACTTTAGCCGAGTATGAGCGGCCACGTTAGCATATGCTTTACAGGTGTCGGTTGACGAATGGAGGAGAGGTCACTTTGGTATTTAATGCGAAGTGATTGGGGGCATGTCGGTCGAATTGCTGGTCGAGTAGGTCGATCATGGAGTCGACCTAGCCGGGGGTCGACATGTAATGCCATTTGAGTCATCATTGCTAGATGTTGGAGTGTCAAGTCGTCCGAGCTGGGTCATGGGTTATTTTGAAGTGCTGGCCCGGTTACGCATAATATGGGACACTTGTCTATAACAATATGTATATGTACACACACGCACACATACATATACATATACATTATACAAATACACACACACAAACACATCCTTAAGCTTCCTCAAGACGATTATTTCTTGAGCTGATGGACCTGTGTTGCACATGAAGAACACGTAAGAGGTCGGAGTTGGGATCTCCGGTGATTCCTCCGACGGTCAAATCAATTCAGGGCTTGAATGGAGAAGTAAGAGTTAAGTTTTTTAGCAAGAGAATTGCTTAGAATAGCTTACCCTAGTAGCAGACATCAGTTTTCTTTTATAGCAGATCAGAAGGGTAGATGAGTAACTTCGGTAGAGTTAAGCTGGCAGCTCAGTTGTCATTTGTTTTACAGGTGTCAGCCACAGAGAGGGGTGAGTCACCTAGGTGTTTAATGTAAGGGTGACAGAATGTACATAGTACTGAAGAGGTCCGATGAGTTATAAAGATTTTCGGGCTAGAGCAATTATGACTCTAATCATACATTTAAGATAATGACAATTGACTATCGACAGAGGGCTCGAGGATACACCGCTTTCCGACTCGTCTCACTAGAGGCCGATAAACAACGTTTTTTTAGTCGGCCTCGCAAGTTGTCAGCTTGAAAAGGCCAAGTGTTGATAGGGAGTGGAGTCAACTGGAATGGTAGGCCGAGTTAGGATGCTTTTCGTCTCGATCTTGCAAGTAGGTCAACAAGTACAATCTTTTTAGTGGGCATCGCAAGTTGTCGGCCTGTTGGGTCGACTGCTAAAGTCGCTCGAGCCATCCCTCTTTGAATATGGTTGATTAGACACAGGGTGGGACATGTGTCAACCTCCCACTGAAGATTAACACTTAATTACTTATATGATATAACAAGTATCAAATGTGTAGCTGTAAGTTCTCCTATGATTTAGGTGTAAATATTTTTTTTTAAATATACATACAAAGAGGTCAGTTGAGATGTGTTCAAGGTTTAGGGGGTTTTCGAGACACTTGAAAGTTCAAGAGGCTATGTGAGATAAACAAATTTTAGAAGGGTTATGTGAAAAACCCCTAAAGTTCAAGGGGGTTTTGTCAAATTAACCCTATATACTTGGAAATTTTTTGAAAGTTTCATTTTTTTTTAAGAAAAATATATTATGAGTCCGGACAAGTTTTGATAACCAACTCATTTCCAAACTTATTCATCAAAAACGACCTATTTGAAACTTATTTGCCAAAAGCGACCCAGGCTGAAACTGGGTTGTTTTAGCCAGCTGGCTGAAACTGAGTTGTTTTTTGCGAAAAAAATACCAAATTTCACGGGACTTCAAGTCCCGTGAAGTTTTTTACATAATAAAACTTCACGGGACTTCAAGTCCCGTGAAGTTTGGTATTTTTTTGCCAAAAACGATCCAGTTTCGATAAGCTAGCTAAAACTGGATCGCTTTTGTCAAATAAGTTTGAAAGAGGTGTTCTTTTTAAATTATTTTTGGAAATGAGTTGTTTTTAGTCCACTCCGCTCGCACCGTCGGTTTCTCTCCGGGTCCTATTAAAATTCCCAATTCCTCCTCCTCTTCCTCCTCCTCCAAAACCCCGCCGAAACCCTACCCCTAAAAAAAATTCCCACAATGTCGTCGACCAACACCCCCAACCTCGAGTGCCGCATGTACGAGTCCAGGTATCCGGAGGTCGACATGGCCGTGATGATCCAGGTCAAGAACATCGCCGACATGGGGGCCTACGTCTCCCTCCTCGAGTACAACAACATCGAGGGCATGATCCTCTTCTCCGAGCTCTCCTCATGGTCCTCCGCGTCGACAAGGACAAGGGCTACATCGACCTCTCCAAGCGCCGCGTCTCCGAGGAGGACATCCAAGGTTGCGAGGAGCGCTACAACAAGTCGAAGCTCGTCCACTCGATCATGCGTCACGTCGCCGAGACGATGGTGCTGGATCTTGAGGATCTCTATGTTCATGTCGGGTGGCCGCTTTATAGGAAGTACGGGCACGCGTTCGAGGCGTTTAAGTTGATTGTGACGGACCCGGACTCGATCCTTGATGGGCTGACGAGGGAGGTGAAGGAGGTGGGGCCGGACGGGAAGGAGGAGACGAGGGGAGGTGAAGGATGCGCTGGTGAAGAATATTAGGAGGAGGATGACGCCGCAGCCGCTGAAGATTCGGGCGGATGTTGAGATGAAGTGCTTTCAGTTCGACGGGGTCTTGCATATTAAGGTTGTGCCGGGGATTGAGGATTGGGCATTGGGAACTGAGTTCTTGTGTTAATTGATTGATTTTGGTTATTTCGGTTTTGTAGGAGGCTATGAAGAAAGCAGAGGCGGCTGGAAATGATGATTGCCCGGTGAAGATAAAGTTGGTTGCGCGGCTATGAAGAAAGCAGAGGCGGCTGGAAATGATGATTGCCCGGTGAAGATAAAGTTGGTTGCGCCGCCTCTTTATGTTTTGACCACACATACTCTTGACAAGGTTTGATAAAAGACGAATCTTTGTTATGTTTTCTTCTGCTTGTTGCGGTTTCTTTTGGTTTGCGGCAGTACTTAGAATGGGAAACATTCGGATGCATCAGCTGCTTCTCATACGAGGTTTAAGATGTTAGCATCCATACACATATACTGCTAGAGTTTGATCCGTTTTTCGGAAGGAATAGTATTTCGGGAAGTTGGGATGGTTGATATTGGCAGTATTTGGAGGACGCGCCAACTATTTTTCGCATGTGGTTTAGATTTTAGCATTCATACAGACCACCCGGGTTTGTTGATTTCCCCTTTTCATACAATTGCTTAACAATTGTCAATATTACATATTATCTTTGTCGCAGCGATCCTTAAAAGTGTAAACTTTATACTCAGAACATGGTCTTTGAATTGGGCTTGCACTGTCCAATGAGGGGCGCTGCAAGAGGGCGTTTCCTGGTATTTGACATGTGCAAGGTTTAACGGATGCTGCACGCTTTAGGGATTAGGCTAGTTGGAGTAGCCTTCTTAGCAACATAGGAACTTGACCTGTAGAAGCTTAACAGTTTGGAGATATTACCATGTTCCGTTTGCTGGTCCTATTGAAGTGAAACGACTGAAGTTCATGATTGCAATCTATGGTAACATGCTAGGATTGCTTGGTTTTCCATTTCTAAGAACCCATCTCTATGAGCATATTTGTAGATGTAGTTCTACATGTTAGATTGCTTGGTTTTCCATTTCTAAGAACCCATCTCTATGAGCATATTTGTAGATGTAGTTCTACATGTTTTTCTTGCAACATATGTAGCATGATTGTAGATGTAGTTCTACATGTTTTTCTTGCAACATATGTAGCATGATCAGACTGAGGTTTTTGACTTTTAGGCTTGATGATGATCTAGCTTATTTAGATGTCTGGCGACCGACGAGAATGATCTAACATTTTAGTTTGTCTCTATATCTTAATACGTTACGGACATTTATGACCCTTCAGCCTGCTCAATTGAACTGGGACATGATTCCACAAGGAGCAGTTACATATCGAAATAATAGATAGATGAAACATAGTTTGAGAGCAGATAAGGGAGCAAATACCAAAAACATTTCGCAGTTGAAGCTCAGAACTTATACCAAAACATTGGGGCTTGTGCTGCCTACTATTGTTACCGCTTCTATACCTGTAGCTTGCGGCTGCTATTACATATTTCTGCATGCTGGCAGCTAGCAGTTGCAGCAAAATTCACTACCTTTGATGTCTTTGGGGCAAAACAATATCAGATAGTTTCTCATATGCAGCATTTGATGTCTGGTTATGCAAGAGCGAAATTGGCATTCATGAACATTAAGTTATGGAACTATTTATTTGCTTGCTAAGATTCTGAAGCTTTCACTTCAAACTCATCTCTAGTTTTCTAAATGGGATAAAAGATTCAGGTTCAATCCTTCATGCACCTTCTTTTTGTCTTAGCTCAATTATATTCAACAAACTTTGGTTTTGTAAAGGTGCATTCTCCAACGAAGTAATTCTTTGTGGCCTGAATAGTAATATACAACTATTCAGTTCAAAAAGGGTTTTGTGGCAATAAAATTTCTCAAACGTCTTCCCAATATTTTCTTGATTATTCAATAACTTTCATGTAAAATTCTCTCCCATTATTTTGTCAAATTTCTTAAAATATTTATATTGTATGTTTTTATTGGTTCTTGGTATTCTTTGTTTTATTCACTATTTGAAATTGTAAAAATAATTTATTTCTTTGCATTTGTAACATGCTTAATGATCTTATAATTAACTAACTAACTCATTAGTTTTCCTTTTTCAGTATTGTGTATTATAAGTTTTATTTTTTAGGATAATTCCAGCAATATATAAGGTCTCTTATTTTGCATTCTCTTCTCTACATTTCCACATAACATATTTCGGCGTTTACGCATATCTTCTAGATTATAGTTTTATGTAGTATGTGAATTAGTGAATTGAATAAATAAATCTTAAATAAGTATCACTGTTATTTCCTTGAATTGTCTTTTTAGACCTTGCATTTAGGAGATATTATTATATTTGTTTCCATGTTTCTTCAATATATTATTTGTTGCTATAAATTTGAACCATCAAGGCATCAAATGCTAATTTTTAGTTTTTTACATTTTCCGAATTTTCATTTTATACTTATTTTCTTTCTGTTAGATATTTTTTAAATTGATATTGAAATAAAAAGTACTTGGTTCTTTTTATTGATAAAGCCCCTAGAGACTAAGCCATGTTCTGCTTCACTCCTCTCTTTGCTTTCCACACTATTCATAACATGTTTTGTGGTATAATAGCGCATACTAATACTGTTGAACATTTTTAGGAAGCAGTATTACTGATATCCAGTAAAATATAAGTAATGTGAATGACCCTCGTACCGGAGCATTAGAGAAGTTCATTAGAAGTACTTGGTGCTTTTTATTGATAACGCCCGTAGAGACTAAGCCATGTTCTGCTTCACTCCTCTCTTTGCTTTCCATACTATTCATAACATGTTTTGTGGTATAATAGCGCATACTAATACTGTTGAACATTTTTAGGAAGTAGTATTACTGATATAGTGATATCCAGTAAAATATAAGTAATGTGGATGACCTTCGTACCGGAGCATTAGAAGTTCATTTGAAGTAGAATTTTGATTGGCTCATGGTAAATTTCATAAATAGGTGCTGGTTAATCATGTCACTGACGCCCAAAAATCATATGGGAACACATCTACGTTTCAATTAAGGCTATTGAAGAGGAGATGTAGCGTAACAATGATCTTGATGTATTTTGCATGTCATTGGACTTGAAAAAGCTTAGCCCAGATCAAGAGTGAGGTTCTTAAGTTCAACCTTATACAATTGAGGTGGTTCGCTAACCTTAACAAAACTTGCATTGCTTGAAGACATTGATAATGATTTCATTATGCTTATGTGTCGTTTCAGCGTTGGGGTGAGATCTCCTGGTGCCATGGTCCCATATCTACTCTATAGAATCCAAAGAATAACTGTTCATGCAGCAGTAAACGGTAGAGTAATTTACTATAGCATAAACAGTAAACCAAATCTGTTTCTCTACGCTCGAAGTTACGGTTCATAATGCAGTATTTACTGTATCATAAAGACAAACAATAAATCAAATCTGCTCCTACATACTTTAAGTTACTATTCATGCTACAGTAAAGCAAATCAAATGTGTTAAAACTTGGATCCTCCTTTAAGTATAGAGTTTTAAGTATAGAGGAGTAGATATGATTTCTAAATCAAATGTATTAAAACTTGAATCCTTCTTTCAGTATAAAGGAGTAGATATGATTTTTAATTTTAAGCATACAATAATCAAATCAAATGTATTAAAACTTAGAGGGAGACAAGTTTAAAATGCAATGCTTAAAAAAAACAGGGGGCCGTGCTTTGCACGGAGTGCACACTAGTGTTTTTAATGAGAAAACTATACCAATGAAGTTTACAATGTCACAGTAATTGCTAAGGGTACTCAATTAACTTGGTTAAGTAGACTAGAATTAAAGGTCCCATGAGAAGGCAATTATCCAATGGATTACAGTTTACTAATCACGTGCTATAATGCCAATGATTTTGTTCACATAATTTATTTTTAAATGATTATTTCTTGAATAACATGTATACTGTTCACCATTGTCTTACCTGATTTTCTGCTTCTCCTTCTTTCTCATATCCAGACATTGCTAAGAACCCTCTGATCTTTGCTTTTACTGAATTCCTAGCAGATTTTTCTATGTCTACGAGTTTCATGCTTGGGCATCAGTTCTATGTCCACCAGTTCCATTATACGGCGTAATTTTCATTCATAGAAATGTGTTGTGATTATTTTCAACCAAATATTCTTTTACTCTGTTTCCATAATTTCCTGTTAGAACAAATTTTCAAATCAGACCCATTTCAATTTTTTTTTATTTAAACCGGCCCATTTTTTTTATTTATCAAAACCGACCCGATTTTGTAATTAGCAGCTTAATCACCATCCTAAACAGTCGGGGTTGCCAACCCCGACTATTTAGGAAGGTGTTAAACCCTAATTAGAAGCCTTAAACCCTAAAAATTAATGTCCTAAATAGTCGGGGTTGCCAACCCCGACTGTTTAGGAAGGTGATTAAGTAACTAATTACAAAATCGGGTCGGTTTTGGTAAATAAAAAAAAAAGGGTCGGTTTAAAAAAAAAATGGGAATGGGTCTGTTTTGAAAAATTCTTCTTTCCTGTTAATGTGTTTCCTTCCTATGGGTGTGTTATTTGTGTTCCTAGTTGAAGGTCTGTAGTCATTTTGTGGTAATTAACCTGTGGATGTTGAACAATGTAAAAAACAGTATATCACAAGTGACCTGGGTTATAAAAATCTGCTTTCATTTTTCTTCTAGTTTAACTGATAAATGATCTAGAGGTTTGAGTTTTTCCTCGATTTTGATTGTTTTCCCAATTAGATGATCACCAGTTGATGAATTGTAGGGCATGTAGTCATTTGAATACACGGCTTTCGGCCCTAAGGTAGGTCAAATGTTTTAGAGGTTGGGACAAGGAAGTGAAAGTGCATCAAATGAAAAACCACTATTCGGATGCAAAATTGGTTGGGATATTGGAGGTTACAAAAGCTCAACTTTTGGAAGGATAAATGTCACACAGTTGTGTCCATATAGCATAAATGTTTTTACTTTTTGGCCTGGACCATTGTGCTACCATAGCCACACGTAGTAAAGATCTAGTTGATTCCCAGCTGAAATTAGAGAGAATCAAGGGTAACTTCCCTGAACTATTGAGGCTTTATAGGCAAGCAGGACTTGAGAGACAACATGAGGCTGAGAGATGATTTTCTTCGTAAAGCATTTTACTGATTCTTCAATTTGTCGGGGTGCATTCCTTGGCTGCAAAATATATCTGAAGTGAAAGTTCCATTGCACTTTAACTTCACTACCTATCTATGATGTTATTGTAAGAGATAGTCTAGTCAGAAGAAAAATTCAGTAGTCAGTGCCATCTCAACATCCGATTAATATAGAGAAAGAGACAATGAACAATCTTATATGCAGTTTCCTAGCTATTTTGCATGTCCACTGTGAGTGCGGCACACACCTTTTTCTTTGTTTTGCCAACATGGACAAAACAGGACAGGACATAGGCAGATGACAAATTCTAGGAAGTAAACCCGAAATAGAAATATAGTATCCAATACGCGTCGCCTATATGTTGATTTCATTCTCGGAGTGTCCAGGTACACACCCTTTCCCAGTTCGAAGATGATTTGGAATGAACAGGTTAGGTGAATCAAATCTCAAGGCCTTATGGTCAAGATGGACCCAAAGGAGGGATCAAGGTTGACAACATATCAATTGACACTGAATGGATTTATGGTGGTAAGTATGATGGAACTCTTAGATCTAGGAATAAAATGGGAAGCTATATAAAAGAACTTGTTATCCGGGAAAGGACCTGGATAATTGTTTCTTGATTTCATTTTCAGTCTAGATTCCCTCCCCCATCTCCTGTTCTATCGGAATTTTAAATTGATGTTTTGTCGACTCGTATATGTAAGCAAAAAGGCTGCAAGGACTAAAGGTGTAGGTTTCTAGCGGAAGAGAAGTATGTTGATAGTGAATTTTGTTATAGTAATTAATAAAAGTGCAGTAGTTGGTGAATTTTGTTTTAGTAATTAATAAAAGTGCAGTAGTTTTCATCATTTAGAGGTTATGTCAAGCAAGGGGCCAGATTAGTCCAACTTCCCTGTATAATCTGATTTGAACGACTATTTGGTTAATGCAATGCAGTCTTCAGGAGCTTTACACTTTTGAACAAGGTGACCCTGCTCTACTATCATTTGGCTTAAGGTAAAGCAATAATGAGGTGTGGGCTACGGTTGATAATTCGTATAATTGTTCGGCCAAATGCATTAAGTGGCATGTGCAATGTACTGCTTCTAGGCTATACTTGTTCTAGTTTTCAGTTCCATCATCCCAAACCTATTTGTTGTTACCTTTTTTATTTTCATAAACCACTATTGGAGATGTATTATATGCCAAGTCTGCATAATTTATCTTCCATTCCCTTTCGTCTCTTTTGGTTTTTTATCCATCTTACCTTCTTCATGGCAGGAACAAGGGATAACAGTTCTTAACAATGCTATAAAGGCTTGCACTGAAGCCATAGACTTCCACAAGGGGAAACTGGTAGTGAAGGAGGCAGCGAGAGCGGTGAGTTCTTGTTCCCAGAAAATAATTTCTTTTTTTATTTTCCTGTTTTTTTAATTTCCTTAGCTTTTATATGAGAGTTTGAACTGCAGTTCTGCATGGCATTCTGCATCTCTTCCTGTTTCTATATTAGTTGTGTCTCAAATTAAGATTTTTCCCCTCTTTCCTGTTTCTCATTCTTTTTTCATTCTGGATTCTATCTATACATTGACACTGATGTTTTTGTAGGTGAGTGAGCGAGATGATAAGCTTCTTGCTGAGCACATGCTTAAACTATCGTCTGCAAATAAAGAAGTTGATGGCGATGAAGGTTCTGAGGAGGAGGAGGAAGATACAGGAATGGGTGAAGTTGACCTTGACAAATCTTCTGGTATAACAGAGTAAACTTATAAAAGCAAAAAGGGTTTGGAAAGTGGATAAACTTCAACAAATTATGTCCTTGTTTGAGAGCAATAGATGTATAGAACAGAGTAGAGTTGAGTATTGCGTTTGTGAGCATCTTCAACGTTTTTCTGGATGTGGCGGCTGGGATGTTGGCTTCTTTCCCCAATTTGTCTGGAGAATACTTTAATCTTTGATTACAATTTTGTATTTTGTATTTTTTGGTTAAACTCTGTTTGACTATTATGATAATGTTATTGCGGTGACTTTTATGGTAGCAGGAAGTCCATTTGCTTTATGTATGCATGTATTTTACTATAAAAGTATTTCTGCACATCTATTTCCTGACATTTTTTTTTCCTTTCACCAAGGGGCTGTTTGGTTCCCTGTTTTTAAGAGAAAGTTTCTCTTGAAAGCCTGTCAAAAGTGACACTTTTTGGCAGGTTTTCAGCCAAAATCTTCTTTTTTAGAGGTGATTTGGGCTGAAAGCCTGTCAAAAAGTGACACTTTGGCAGGCTTTCAAGAGAAAAAAATTCTAACCAAATAGCCCCCAAGCGGTTCCGCCTTACTTAAGGAGGAGGCAAAGCTATTGTGAGTAGCCCTAGTACCGTGAGATTCTCTTCAAGTTTAGAGCTGTAAGTTTATATTATCTCTTGAATATGGTATATATTCTTCAATTTTGGTATGCTTGTTGCCTGACTTATTTTATTGAATAGATGATTCTATGCCATGCGCTCTAAATTACATTTATTTCTTATGCTAGTAAAGCTTTCTTCGGCATTGATGCAAGAGAATACATTCAACACCTTGCTTTGTTTGAAGGAAAGAGATATTTCCCCCCTCTTTTCAGAATCTCCGCATGTACTGGTGTGTTTCCTCTATGATCTCCCAGAGAATGCCAAGAGCATTCTCCATAGAGTGAGTTCAATCTGGTCTTGGCATGAAGTTCTCCTCGGTCTTCTCTTTATCGACTCTCTTTCAATCAATTTCGCTTTTGTGCCCATGGTGCCAAATTTAGACCTTCTGTTTCTTTCCTTTATATATGGCTCCCTGATCTCTTGCTTTCTTCTTCTGGCCATATTTCTTCTCTTGATATGCCTTCTTCTATCTGCATCTCTTGTTTTCCTTGCAATTCTGTTGATCGATATCTATGATGCTATCAGTTCATTTTCGTGGATGCTTGATTCATTTATGGCGAACGTCAAGCTAGCATTTGTATTAATTACATTTATTGCGATGAAACGAACATTTGAAGGTTTGTTGGCTTTGATACGCTTGCTTGTGTTGGTGATGTTGGAGGCAAAGGAGAGAGCTTATGGTTTGGGAGACTTAAAAGCCTGAGTTTTCATTTGAATCGTGAAATTGAAAGCAAGAATGGGGTGTAGGGGGGGAATATGTGAAGCCTGGCGGGTCTTCGCATTTGCTAAAATTTATAATGGTTCAATAACTCCTCCACCGAAATCATTTGTAGTCGTAGCTCAACAAGTATGGTGCTTGATTTCATTTCATCTTGTGTTTTCTTACTTGTACAATAACGAATGATTTTCATGCGGGTAAGGATAGTAAGTTTTCCTCTCAGTATTACATGTATACAAGTGCTTGTGCGCGTACACTCATACATATGTATATACTAGTTGAGATGCACATGTGTTGTACGTGGTCAAATATCTGATTGTACGTGGATATATGTAGTTAATTCTATATAATATAAACATGAATCACATGAATCAAAATCACATTTATTTCCTTATTGGACCGTCAAATTAAAAAAGTATCAAATGAAAATACTTAATTACTTCTCTCTGCAATATAATATAAAGATGTGTACGTATGATTTCAAATCACATACTATTTTCTTATCTCATAACGTATAAAAATGTCTCCATATAGATATAGTCGTGTTTAATATATATTTTATTACAATAATTTCTTTTTAATTTACTATTCTTTAAAATATTACCATTCTGAGCATATATCTTGACGCGCACAACAAAGAGTAGTTATACATGCTTCCCTAATAATATTCACGTAATGCTGAGAATTTTTTTTCATGATATGTGTGTGTGTGACTATTTATTAGAAATGGAAGCAATACTTCTATAGTGATTTTTTCATCTAACGATAAATGCTTTATTTTAGCAATTATAACTAAAATATGATTAAACAAAACAAAGAGTTAGTATATATATGTCCGATGCTCTTAGCTTAGAATAACTATCATCATTAAAATAGTTTTGATAATGAATTCATATGTGGCTACTCTATTCTACAATGACTCTGAACCAGTCTATCAAACTAAAAATTATTTTCTAATTGTTATACATAACAAAGAAGAAAGAATGTTATAAACAAATAATTAGACTAATTTCTATTAAAAATAGCAAATAAGAATGATATATTACAAGTATATCTAAAAGCATAATTTCTCCTTTCAGTTTTGACAAAAACCTGGACAAATAGGAAAAGAAATTGAGTCAAATGAAAGAGAAATGAATTATTCACACACGCTACCAGAAAATATGCCTTTACCTGTTAGGTTGGGGATGGATACCAACCTACGACGGCGGAGGAGCTCCGACGAGCTCCAGGAAGATGCAGACGAACTCGAGCAGTTGAGCTCGATTGACGAACGTGATGGTAGCTTTGGACGAACGCGACCCTCGGTTGGCGAACGCGACCCTCGGTGTTTGGCGGTCCGACCCCCGCGTTCAGAGCTCCGACCTCCGCGTTCAGCGCCCACGCTCGCGTTTCTGGCCTCCGACCCTCGCGTCCGTTCGTGCGCTGGCGACAGGCTGTCGCCAGCCCATCAATGTTTCGGCTATAAAAAGCCCCTTTGATGCCCTAGGGTGCTTTGCTCCTCCTCCCCGACTTTTCTCTGGCGGCAGATCCCCCTTTAACGCAGCAGCGTTCATCTCCTAAAATTGCAGCAGCGATTTTCCCTTTTAATCTCCAGCTCTCAACAGTTTTGAGGGGAGATAAAGAAAGGATTTAAGAAGAGAGAGAAAAGAGAAAAGGGGATTTTATAGTGGGTATTAACACTGTAGCTACAGTGTTCATTTGAGGAATCTCAGTTTAGAGATTTGCTCTTGATTTGTAATTTCTTGTTAGATTAAATAAGAAATTGACTGTGTGGCTCCCGAGGACGTAGGCAGTTGCCGAATCTCATAAATCTTGTGTACTGTTCTCTATTCTGCGTTTCTGTTGCATTAGGGATTTAGGCGTTAAATTCCCAACAACTGGTATCAGAGCGTGAAACGATCTAGAGAAAGTCAGATTCAAGTGGGAGCCATGGCCGCAGATGAGGGAAAGGTGAGAATAGAGAAGTTTGATGGATCAGATTTCGGATTCTGGAAAATGCAGATAGAGGATTATCTGTATCAGAAAAATCTGTATCAACCTCTCTCGGGGAAGAAGCCGGAGGGTATGAAGGAAGAAGATTGGAATCTTCTGGACAGAAAAGCCCTCGGGGTTATTCGTTTGACGTTAACCCGCAATGTTGCTTTTAACATTGCAAAGGAGAAGACCACGGCAGATCTTATGGCAGCACTCTCCAATATGTATGAGAAGCCATCAGCCTCAAATAAAGTCCATTTGATGAGGCGGTTGTTTAATCTGCGAATGGCGGAAGGTGCATCGGTAGCACATCATCTCAATGAACTCAATACAGTCACGACCCAATTGAGTTCAGTTGATATTGAGTTTGATGAGGAAGTTCGAGCGTTGATCCTTTTGTCTTCCCTACCAGAGAGTTGGAACGCTACGGTCACAGCTGTGAGTAGCTCATCGGGAAGCAATAAGTTGAAGTTTGACGACGTTCGTGATCTGGTTCTCAGTGAGGAGATCCGACGGAGAGAGTCGGGTGAAGCTACAACCACTTCAGTATTGCATACAGAGTCAAGAGGTAGAAGTTCAACCAGAGGAAATGGATCAGATGACAGGAGATCCAAATCCAGAAATCCCAACAGTTCGAAGGCTATCGAGTGTTGGAAGTGCGGGAAAACCGGGCACTACAAGAATCAGTGCAGGAGTGCACGGGAGGAGTGAGAGGCAAATGCAGATGTGAACGTTGTCTCCACTTCAGGAGGAGATGATGCGCTGATATGCTCTTTGGAGAGCAAGGACGAGTCTTGGGTGTTGGACTCGGAAGCATCATTCCATGCTACTTCTCAGAAAGAATTCCTCGAGAAGTATATCCCCGGAAACCTTGGAAATGTATATCTTGGTGACGATCAAGCATGTGTCATTATTGGCAAAGGTGTAGTGAAGATTAAGCTGAATGGGTCAGTATGGGAGCTGAAGGATGTCAGGTATATTCCCGACCTGAAGAGGAACTTAATCTCAGTAAGCCAGCTGGCTAGTGAAGGCTACACGATGACTTTCCATGGCGATGACTGGAGGATTTCGAAGGGCGCAATGACGATTGCCAGAGGCAGGAAGACTGGTACCCTGTATATGACAGCGGGTGCACGTTGTTCGATCTCAGTTGCGGCAGGCAATGAGACTTCAAAGCTGTGGCACCAGAGACTCGATCATATGAGTGAAAATGGGATGAATGTTATGCACACAAAGAGAAAACTCTCAGGTTTACAATCAGTAGATATTGATGTGTGTGAAGAATGCATACTTGGAAAGCAGAAGAGAGTTAGCTTTCAAGCAAGTAGCATAACCCCTAGGAAGCAGAAGCTAGAGCTTGTTCACTCAGATGTTTGGGGACCAACAACCACCGCGTCGATTGGTGGGAAACACTACTTCGTGACTTTTATTGATGATCACTCTCAGAAAGTATGGGTCTACTTTCTGAAGAAAAAGTCAGCTCTCAGAAAGTATGGGTCTACTTTCTGAAGAAAAAGTCAGAAGTGTTTGAGGCTTTCAGAAGATGGAAAACCATGGTCGAGAATGAGACCGGTTTGAGGGTAAAGAAACTCAGAACATACAATGATGGTGAGTATGAAGACACCAGATTCAAGAAGTTCTGCTATGAGCACGGTATCAGAATGGAGAGGACCGTGCCCGGCACGCCTCAGCACAATGGTGTGGTTGAGCGCATGAATAGAACATTGACAGAGAGAGCCAGAAGCATTCGAATGCAATCAGGTCTACCGAAACAGTTCTGGGCAGAAGCAGTCAACACAGCAGCTTACTTGATCAACCGAGGTCCATCGGTTCCATTGGAGTACAGAATACCAGAAGAGGTATGGTGCGGAAAGGAGGTAACCCTCTCACATCTCAGAGTTTTCGGTTGTGTAGCTAATGTGCATATTAGTGATCAAGGCACTTACTTGATCAACCGAGGTCCAT